ATACTTATTGCTTCCAGCACGCAGCAGCTTTCCGAACTTGGAGTTGCTAGTTTGCTAGTTTGCCAAGCCTCATTTTATCACTGCTCTAAAGATTGCAAACCACACTAAAGCATCCCGCGTCTGCCTTGAGCAGCCTTTGGGCAGTTCGGTTAGTAAGCGGCTTCCCACGCAACTTGAGGTTCCGTCCATGAATTGTCCGGGGAGTAGCCATCAGCCGGCGCTGCAGAGGACTCTGCTTTAGTCCAAAGTGACACAGCCAATGTATCCCAGCGAAAATGGTCATGGAGCTCCAAGGGAGTCTCAGGGGGGGGCCATCCCTGGATAGGCCGAGGAGACCAAGGATACACTGTGGACAACATTCTGCACGTTAGTCGGAATGGATGATTCCCTAGCTACCCACCAACTAATTTGTTTTGCGAATGTTGTCCATCCACCGTGAGGCTTAGCGGATAGCCCCCCTCCTCGAGTGGTGGGTATCTCGGTCGCTCGTTTGTTTGTGCTTGGTGCTCGGCTTGGGACGTACAGCGGCACAGTGCTGGAGACTCTTCATGTGGTCAGCCGGGGCTTACTGTGTTTAAAGACTTGCTTGTTTTGTGGGAAGTATTCCAGGAAAGCTAATTTTTCGGAAGTATTCGAGGAAAGCTAAAGGAAATTCGAAGGACATGATTGCAAACAACTCAGTGCTTCTGCGGCTGGTGTTCATGAAATTCAAGTTGGACCTGCGTTTCAATTGCCGCCACGTGGCGAAGCCTTAAGCTACACCTGCGCCTCGAGTGGGTAGTGGGCGAGAAACAAAACGAGGTATATGAAGGGTATCTAGAGCCTTCAGCACGTGGTTGAAGCCTTGGAAAAAGGCGGGGTCAACCACCTAAATTATGCGCTTTTCGGATGGTTTATGTTCGCCTTTAGGGGCAGACTAGGATGGCAAGAACTGGAGGTCGCCACCCTTCCACCTTCAAGCACATGGGCAAAAGGTTCTCCGAGGTTTGCTGTCATGTATTATTGTTGGCTGGTGAACATGTAGGGTCTACTTTGCAACGGTATGGTTTTTTTTGGTTGTGTGCTGCAACGTCAGCTCGTAGGTGATCATGCGGGCCCCGCAAGGCCCCAAGGCTAGGCTTTTTGTTGCCAGTTCCGAAGAAGGGAGATTTGAGACCTAACCTACTAACTACCCTTCTTCTGCCCGTCAAGGGCGTCCTTCATTTTTTCCATCAGACCAAAGTTGTCACTTGGTTGGATCCGTTGCTGGAATCGCTGCAGCCCAGCAAACCCAAGCTTAGAGTCGCCATGTCCGAGTCCCACAAGAGGGAGAGGCCGATGGGAGGATCCAGCAGGTTGGACAGGTTGCTCCGAAAGCCAGGAAAAGACCACCGACAACTGGAGCCTCAAGCTACCTTTGGACAGGAATTTTAATTCACCCCACAAATGTTGGAACAATAACCCACTTTAAAGTCTAGTTGGAAGGTCCAGGTAGTTAGATGTGCCAAAAGGTGTCCAACCCGTATTATGTTAAAGGGTAGTTGGAAGGTCCAGGTAGTGCCAAAAGTCAAAAGGTGTCCTCTGGTCTCCCTTTACCAAGCCACCTTCTTTCGGCTATGCAAGAGAGTCCCGTTGCAGTTGGTGTTCGAAGGGAGCGCGCAGCGGAAACAGTTGCATTGTTTGGGGGTCGACGCCTTTCTCTTTGCACAAAACAATGGTGTGTGGGTGTGTGACATGAAAGCGAAATTTCCCAGAAGAATGGGGGGAACGTACAGCGAGTTTTTTTTGAGAGGGGAATTGCGTGTTGGGCATTTGAAGGGAAGCAACTTGAACACCGAAAAGGCATACTTTTCGGAGGTGCGATCTCTACCTTTGAAGCACATCCCTCAAGTTCGAACGGAGGGTTGAAGTTGAGATCCGGATCTCAGCTCCGTTTCTTTTATCCCCCTTGTGAGATCCATGTTACGCCACGTGTGGAATTCGGACCTGAGCGGTCAGCTGGAAAGCCGTATCCTCCATGGCAGCATGGCAGAAGGGTCTCAGCCGTCACCTGGTAGCTCCTCGAGAAAATCCTTGCACAGTCTTCCCTGGGTCAAACAACTTGATGATCAACTTGGGAGGAAGGTCTCAACCGTCTTCCCTGGGTCATTGGCCTTGGGCCCTTTTGTTGCTCTTCCAGGAACCAACTTTCGACCCCGTAAGTCCATGTCGCGAAATCGAGTTCAGGAAGGTGGGTCAAACACGGCTTCCTTGAACATCTAGGTCCCCCAGCAAGGTGCCCTTTTACCGTTTCTTTTTTGGGGGAGGGTTACCCTAGTAAAATAGACTACAGAAAAAAGGGTATGCTTATTCTGGAGGACCTAGACATCTTCCCTTTTGATTCTGAAACGTCACCGTTTGAGCCACAATCAACACAGGTAGAGGGTTAGTAACGGACAGTCCCAACCATAAACGGGCGCGGGGGAATCCGCCTTCTTATTTCTGCATGGTTCTGGGCGACCATTTTGACACCCATCGGTTTTGAGCAAGTGACTCACATGGGTGTTCTCTATTCCCTCGTTAAAATTGGCTGCAATCACAAGAAGAACCCCTTTTGGTTCTGAAACATCACCGCTTGGTTGCTTCAGTTGGGTTGTCCATCCCATTTCTATGGGGCTTGCTCTCCCGACTCGCATGGAAGTGTCCACAGACCCCCGTAAGACGAGTCTTTCCTCTTGGAAAGGGGCTTTGTGCACTTCCATGTTAGTTGGGAGGGGAATGCATCCCTTTGGTTGCCAATCCCCAAGTGGGTGCGGGGCAAAATACCACCAGGAATCGGACAGCAGGTTGTAGTCCAAGTTTCCATTTACCGATCGGGCAAGCCATTTTGGGTACATATTCTCGACCCACGGCCGTATCCTTCACCACTCTGTTCAAAATGGAGTCGGCCAACCGGATTCTCCATAATCCCCAAGGATTAATGTTGCCCTTTGAACAGCCCAGGCTGGAATGAACAGCCAATGGACCTTTCATGTTCCAGGGGTCTTAACCAAATGGAAGCATGTTAGTTGGTGGGAGGGTAATGCATGACTTTGCCAATCCCCGAGTGAGTTTTGTTTTCGGACTGCGCTTGGAGCCAAAAACCATCGCGCAGGGCCTCTGAGGCCGAGGCCGAAGCCAAGGCCCCGAGGATAGAAACGACTTCAGCCAGGGGCCGAAGCGCCGCGTTTTCCGGGGGCAGGAGGCTGCATTTGGGTGTGTGGACCCTCCCAAAATGGATGTCGGTTTTCCTCTTGATTTCCCCCTTTAAAAAACAGACCCATTTGTGTGTATTTGTGTGTGTTTTTTGTGTGTAGATGAGGTGTTGTTGTTGTTTCTTTTGCCCTCGGAATCCACCCAAAATGATCCAGGAAAAAAAGCAACATCCTGTGGAGGGAACATTTGCACGTTGGCTCTGGTTTTCAGTGGTTTCCGAGGGACCCCGTTCTTTTTTTTTGTGTGTTTTCTCTCTGAGGGTAGGTGCACTTTGCAAAGTGCATTGCTACTCTACTGCTATTGGGTTGGATCTTTAGACTTTAACTTTTTAGGATTCCCTTCATATTTCCTTGTAACCAGCAAAAGTTGAACTTTTTGCTGGGGGATCTACAGCACCCGAGGCTAAACTTGCCAATTGGATCGCGCAATGTTCCAGCTTGGATGCGAACCTTTTGATTTTTGCAGCCGTGTCCATCTTCCCGACAGACTCGCCACTGGCGTTTCTGAGATTTGCATTGACTCTGAATTCCTAGAGGGCGTCGAATCGGAGCATGTCACGATGAGAGGTCATTGAAACGAAGGCGGTGGTTTTTTGGGTTTGGTGCAATCATCTCAGGTGCATTGGATCAGGTTCAATGCGAAAAGGGACAAACATCGAGTTCAGCCGTGTGAGAATAGGGAACCCTCCATGCACAGATGTGTGTTACGTTGTGTTTTGGCAGTTCCCCGTACCTTGCTGCCACGCACCTTACCCGAGGAGGTTGCCGGAGGGGATCTGACTGTGCTGGTGGAAGGTTCTCACCTCAGTGGGGGTGATGCTGTGGATGGACGAACTGCATTTCGCATTTCCAGGGGCATCGAATCATTCCGGGGGTTCTTAGGTGGTGAGAACTGGATTTCCTTCCACAGTAGGAGGTTAGGGGGGCGAGGGGTTGGGGTTGTGTGGTTGCGCTTTGAGGGAGTTGGGACCTGTGGCTTTGGGGGGAGTGAAAATGAGCAATGCTGGGACGAATAGGATAAGGGAGATACTCACCAAGGTCCAATGTAACTGGGGGCGAACATCGACCGTGGCTCATATGAGTTCCAATCATTTTCCTGCACCGGTTTAGATGGATGAACCCCTTTGACACCCTTTGAATACTGGTTGAACCACCTACCCGGTGCCGGGATTTTGTCCATCCAGTATGAGGTTTGGCAACACATATCTTGGTTTGCCTATGGTTCTGCTTATTTTATGGCAAGCTCGCCGATCCCAGGGGAAAAACCACGAAACTTCATGATGAAGGTCCTTTAACGGGGCCTCCCTGATTTCTGTGTTTAGCACATTGCAACAAATACAGATTGTTCATTTGGGGTTCGGGATATGGGAGAACTCATTAGACTTTCCACAAACGGGAACCCCAAATCTCCATTGTCTTCCTGGGGGAACAAGTAAATTTGACCATGCCGGGGAAAATACCACATAAGGCATCTAGTTCCATGTACTGGGGCATATACTTGTTTTAGGAGCATTCACATATTTTGACAAATCATCACGAGCTCACCTGTGGAAGTTGCGATGAAGATTCCATTGGGAATTATAGTAAGCAACTTTGCAGCAATTGGGATGCATGCCATCCGCTGTATGACAATGACAAAAATACATTGTGCATGCAGACCTCTTTTCATTATTCCGGCGGCAGTCGGTTGAAGGACACCATGGTAGATCATCCAAGAGACTGCGCCAGCGATGTACACAGGTGTCAAGCACCTTCGGAGGCTTTCCAGTGTTTCTCAACATCATGTGG